CAATAGAACGACTATGCTTTTTCTTTAATAAAATCCTTGAGGTGAGAAATATACCTCTTATCTGCATGCTGATATCAGTATTTTTCTGCTGGGAACTAATTTAAACACTTCATGAGAGATTGACATTTTCAATGCCTTAAACATCCTTAAAAGCTGCTTTGTTCATTGCAAACCGTATTTAGAATGACCTCATAATAATGTAGCACACCTCAAGTGTCATGCCTGTCTTTACTATGCACATTGGAGCTGTGTTCATCTATACTAGACAACTGCACTTCAAGGAAAAAAAAAAATTCTTGATAGGCAATTAGCAGTAATTAGGAAGATTCACTTCAGTAAGATGTCAACATGAGATTGCTTAAAAAAGTTGAATGTCAGTGGCTTTAAAAGAGGGTTTTTTTCCCTGACACATAGGTATGGCATGTGAAACATGAAATGTTAATTTAACTTTTCTGCTTATTATTCATGCACAATATTATTTTGTCATTCAGATACTACACTGACAGAGTGCAAAGGGTGTTAAAATAGTGCTGCTAGAATAAAAAGAGGATTAATCTACCATTGGCCAATTAGCCAAAGGGTACTTAATGGTCTCTAAAGGCTACTGAAGTCTAACAACTAGCTAAAGCAATGGCAAAAAGTCCTCTATATTACCTTCATTTACTTGACATTTTGTGAAACAAGTCAGCTGCTGATAACTGCATTTGGCTGAAAAAAAAATTATAACTCAGTGATACAGTAAATTTTACTAAAATTTCAGAAGAATAAATGACATTTCTTCTACATTTTAGAACTTTTTCTTGCTTTTGGGGGTGTTTGTTTCAATTTAAGGATAGGCTATTAAGTCACCAAAGACTTCAGTTTCATATTTTGTCTTCATGTCTGGAATACTAAGTAATCAACCACGTACAGCACTTACATGGAAAAAAATTTTCACTGAGGATTTGGGAGTTATTTGCCTTTTCTCTGTATGATCACATTAAGTATGCAGCACAGTTGCCTTTTTAGTCTGGTATATATATTTTCATATTTTCAGATAGCTACATACCATCTTTATTAATTTTAACTTTTTTTTTAATGGGACCCGTCAACCAGAGGTAGGTTTTGATTCAAGAGAACAAAACAGAGTCAAGGTTAGTGGGACTGACTGAATGAATTTTGCCTTGAATATTGTAAAAAGGTTTATCATTATGTTATAATAACAATTGATAGAGTGTGTAAAATCATAAATACCTAATTCTGTGCCTGCAAATATGTTTTGAAAAATTCTTTCATGGTTTATGTGTGCAACAAGTACTGCTTATCTTGTATATTTTTCATGATCAAGCTAAAGCTGCCAGAAAATAACATTCTATTTAAAACCTTCAGACAAGCAGTGTTAGATTTTAAAATAGAACTTGGTACAGGAGCTATGCGTATAGCAAATGTATTTTATTACCTACTGTAGCAAGGTTTCTTAGAGAAAAGAAAAAGGAATATATTGACTTCAGGCTTCTTACAGATATCTACATGCACATTGTAATGTTTTCATCTGTCAGGATTTTAGGATGGGAAGTTTCATAGCAAATATAATTTTTACACATCTGAGGATATTTATATTAGTTGTAGTTGGATTACAAAATGAGTAGTAAAATAATGTTATGCCATTGCTTAGAAAGGATTTCAAGAACACCTGATTTACATCCTATTTCATAATTTTTCCTAGAAATGCATTCTATATAATATATTCTGCAAATATGAATGTATGGGATCAGGTACAGCAGTAGCAGTGCAGTATCAGCCACCACCAAATGAAGTATCATTTTCATACATGACAGTTGCAGTAGTAGAGTGACTGCTGTAAACTGAGCTAGAAACTCCTCACAGGGTTGTGATGCCGAGAAGCAATAGGCTCTTCTAGGAGCTTACTACATTAATCCATCGGGCCTTCCACGTAACTGTCTTTCTGAGCAGAGGGCTTATGGTAAAAAGCCTTGCTGAGTCACTGGAAGTTTTACATTGACTACACAGAAACTGAGATTTCATCACTTATCCCTTTGTGTACAGCAGAACAGAGTGTCACGGGTATACTAGGAGCAAGGAGATTAAGATAGATGGACGTTAAAATATTGAATTTATAAACATCTGTTAAGCCAAAACACTCTGGAGGAGGTGCAGCAGACAAAGGCCGCTACATCATGGAGGAACAGCGGTAGCCTGCCTTTACCAACATCTGGTCTAGCTGGTGTTTAAGATTCTACCTTTCATCCTGGTGACCTCTTCCCCTGGAGTAAATCCTTTTTACTCTGTCACTCAGGATTTGTGTGCATGGTAGCACACACACACACAAACCTCTGTATCTAAAAACGAAAAAAGAACAAAAGACTTGACCTAAAACTTAGCGAGTGTTGAGGGACGGCAGGGTAATGAACTCGCTTCTTAAGTAAGTAAATGCAAGTAAATAAATACCTTGGCGGAGCAGGGGGGCTGTTTTTCACAGCCTACATAGATTTATACAGAATTTTCACATACCCTTTCAATATATTGCAAATAGAAGAATAATGCAATAGAATTATCAAACTTGTAACACATTTTGCCTTGTCTCCAGAGCTGTTAAGAGACAACCTTTTTGGTAGCTCTGATTGCAATTGCATGTCTGTCTTTGTCTGCTTTTGCAAGTTAGGGGGTGTTTGTCTTGTACATCATACACTACTTTCACTTCAACCCCATAGTTCTGATGCTGTTTCTGAATTTATGTACATTCATATTTTAAATAATTTTTTTCTACCTCCTCACTTAAGTAAATTCTGTAACCAGTGTAGCACTGTCTGCTTTGGTACCTGTCCTGTGGAAACTCAGACTTTTTCGATATATTTGCTGTCATTTTGGGGAATGTGGCTACTGCAATCTTGGCATTTTAGACCAGGTGCATTTTGGTGGCAGCAGTAACGTAAGAAACTTCTGAGAGTTATGAGCTGTCTTGGGCAGATATGGGGGCATTTCTAATTTTAATCAGAGATATTGATCTAGCTAGGATTTTTTTTTTCTTTTCTTTTTATGAATAATTTATTATAGAGACACTGAATCACGAAATTCTGCATGTAGAAATATTGGCTATCCTGGACAAATCTAATCCTTACATCTTTCTTATAAACCTAATCCTTATATCTTCCTGTGTTACATCTTTCTGTACTACTGCTGGTTTTGCTTATTAAAGTAACCTTCATTTTGTCTTTTACTCAGATTGTATTAATTGTGAGAATAACATATCAGGTTAAGGAATAGCCGACTCGAAAATACATTAACATTGTTTATCTCATGTTCAATAATGACAACAGACGCAGAAGAGAATGGGAAGATTGACCCCTTTACTAAGAAAAGTACTTATCTCAGATACATATGTAAACTGCTAATTCGGTTTAATAAATGCACATAAGTCTGAAATACCATTGAGTTTTAACTTTAAATACAGGATGCGTTTTCTTGTATTCATGATTTTTTTTAAGCTAATACAAAATCTACAAACATTCTCATGTCATTTGTAATGGGGATAAACATGAGCATGTAGTTTTTCTTTTATTTGGATGTATGTGATATATGTGATCTTCAGATGATTGATATGGAAGTATACGTGTATATGAACACATGTACATAAAATGTTTTTTCAAATAACATCAAACAATATAAAATCTATTTTTGAGTTAAATAATAAAATGCTTGGAAATAGAATACTACCTTTAACTTTCTCTTACCCATGTTTTTTGTGTACCAGCATATAATCAGGCACACATTTAGTCATTTCAAACTGTAGTATCTTCTGCAATTTCTTATCAGGATTCTTCACAAAGAAGGTTTTTTGCCCTTTGAGAGATTTCAATACCATTTTGTATAATTGTTCCTTATGTTAAACTACCATATTACAATCTTCTTTGGAATAGTAAGATAATACTGTAGTTACCGTTTTAAGGAGCAGAGAGTTGTTAGGCCATTGATGGCTTTTGGCTGACTACAGATTTATGAAAGTTAACCACTAGCATGAAGATTATTTCAGTTCCCCTTTTTGCAAAACAACATTCAAGTATTTTATTTAAAAGATTACATCTATAAGGAGTACTGTAAAATATACTGTTATAAAGATTGAATAAGTCTTGTCAGTTGTCAATCAAGTGCAACAAGACTGAGAGTTTGTTTGCATGTTATTTATTTGAACTAAATCCCTAACAAGCCTCGTCTGCTAATTGGACTTAGCATTTATGTTGCTAAATGAGAAGCATTTTGGCTGCAGTATAGGGTGGTAAGACCTACCCAGTGGAATAAACAACTAACATCTGTTATCCTGTCCTGCTCCAGCTTGGCTTTTACCACTTAAGTACCTCAGCCCTAGAGTCAAGGTTATGGAATATGTAGTTCTCTGGCTATGGTGCATATATGTGAAAGGGAAGAAATAACACAACATGAGTAAAGACCAGCCAACCAGAAGATATTTAGTGCAGCTGGTCCACTTTGCTTTAACCTCTACAAGCCCTACAAATATCAAAACAAAAGCCAAGAGAAGGGTTTATGTTTTATAGCAGTTGTCAACACAGCAATTCAAGTGAGCTTACAGTGGTCACCATTAAAACAGATTTGACATTTAACCACCTTTAATACGCATTATTGTCTGAGACACCTTGATATTTCTTCATGCTCTGTGTAGAAATAATTGCTGAATCCCAGAGAGGCTCTAGGTAAAGAGATTTCATCAGTAACTACTGTTACAGTTTTGTATGATAATTTTTGTCTGTCTTAAAAATAGCAATGTGTACAGTCAAAATTGAATTAGTTTACCTTTTAAAAAAATTGCTTGTTTTTAATCTTTGTGTGGACTAGAGAATTTAAACTAACAGCAATGACATATAATTAGATGGAGGTAATAAATACTGTTTCATTCCTCTTGAATTCTGAACCAGAGAAGCATCTCATGATCAAACAGAAACATTTTCAGGATGCAATTGTGATTGTTTCTTCTGTTTGTAAAGCAGGTGTTGACCTCCAACCTGGCCGAGTGGCAACAGGAGAAGGAAGATTTACAAGGAAAATTGAAGTTGAGAGAACATCTGTCTCAAACTGCTGGCAAGAGTGAAGCCACACCAGCTCCTTCAAAGAACGTTGATTTAGAGATGAAACAGCTGCAATGCAAACTAAAGGTGACAGAATAGATTATGTAGTGCTGAGGATAATTCATATGAACAGTATTTTATAACTGGGTCAAGGAGATATACATATACTCACGTATGCATATTGTTTATGTATCTTAGCCAATGATTAGCAACTTAGGTGTTAGGTAACCTTTGGTGTTAAGTAGAAATGTAGTCATAAGCAGAAGAATTAAAAGTTACAATTAAAACAATTTTTACAGATCAAATAGGCCAGACAGGGAGGCTTGCTGGGTTTTCACACGATTATTAAATGCATCTTGCTGGAAAGTGCTGTGGAATTATTTCAATGAGAATTGTGTTGATTCCTTGCTTCCCTTAAGGAGGTAAGCAATAGCTAGGTGTGAAAGGGGAGCAAAGAATTTGACCTGATGGGGCAGCTCATGTAATGTAACAGTGTTTTGTTACCTATATGGCACTACTACTCTTGTCTTCAAAGAGACATCGTTGTTTTTGTATTTGTATTTTTGTAGATTAGCTGGTAGGAAAATACTAACTTGTTGATGATTTCATTTTTCAGTCTGCAATGATTCTGTTATATGTGGATGATGTAGATGCTGGACTGTGTTGATCTGGGAGCTTTCTTAGCAGGTGGCCTGGCTCGAACATAATTCTTCCTGTCTTCTCACTGGAGGAAGTATATGTGCAACAGAATGTCCTGAAGTTGGGGTTTTTTTCCATCAGTTTATGTTTGGTATTTGAGGAAAGGGAAAAGGTCAAAATGGTACAGCGTCTTGCTGCTAGAAGAACCAGAGCACTAGCAAGGCAGCTGCCAAAGGATCAACTAGAAGAAAAGGCCATATTACATGAGAGATACAGCTGGCTCTGGCTCTGAGTACTGGATTAGCTGTGCTAGCGCATGAGATGTGGGTAGTGCTCAGACTGTTGATGATAATCATGGTATCACAGATCATGGCTATAGCACAGGGATTAGTAAAGGTAGGTCACATTGATAAAGACATTAGGGCAGCAGGGAGTGGCCATGAAAAGGCATGTAATTTGATCTACTTTAATTATGAGAAAGAGATCTTGAATCTGTACACACTGACTTCCTGAGTGTTGATTTTAGATTTGGGTTTGACTAATCTGCTTCAGTTGCTGGTGAGTGGTAATTTCTGTTAATTAGGGTTGTTCCTTTTAGATGAATGTCCTCATTATCCAGAAACGTAGTCAATTGCTTTATGGAAGTAAGAAAGATTAAAAATGAGGAATTTTTTTTTTTTTTTTTTGTAAAATACTCTTAAGAGTAACACTTATGCTAGAAGCCTACTTTATTTGTCTGCTACATGTGAACTGCAAAATATATTGCTAAAAAATCAGGGTTTTTTGTTTCTGCATCAGAGGAAACATTTAGCAAGCATATATAAATCTGATGTAAAAAATACTAACATGACTTTCTATTCCTTCTTAAAGATATATTACATTTTTAATGTCAAAAATAACCCATGTATGCAAAAATACAGTTAGAATAAACATAGTGTGTGATCCCAAATCCAGATTAGTAAAGTAAATTCACTAGTTGCTGAATTCAATGATAGTTTTGACTATAAGGGCCTCAAAAGCTACGTAAGTTACTGAAATTCTTAGCCTTATTTTTCAAAAATTTTAGTCATGCAAATCATTTTTAGCAGAAGAAATCGGCAAAAGTTGTCAACTATTGTTCCAGGCTATCTAGCTTACTTAAAAAGGAGACACAAAGTTATCTTCCTAAATGTCTGAATGTGAAAGCGGCAAAAGCTTTCCTTATAGCTCAAAATCTCAAAGTACCTGGTTTTGTTAGTTAATTTTTTTTTCTCAGTACTATCTTTGCAGTGTTTGTTTGCGTTCTATCTAATGACTCCTTGTATCTTTGCCAATAGGAGGAAATGTGTTAAGTGTGGGTGGTGGGTTTGGAAGCAAAATACCATAAGCATATGTCTTTGCCTCTGAGCATGTGCAGAGGCCCACCTAAGTATTGAGGTTCCTATCTGGTGTGTAAACCTTGTAACTGGGTGCTGTGCTTCACACTAATGAAGCTCAAGCTCACCAAGCAGGTCTCAGGAAACTCAGGAATATTCTGCTAGTATACATAATTTTAACAATTTTCTGGTTATACCTCACATTATAATAATAGTAAATAGACTAGACAAGTTATTAAGAACAATATTTTACATCTGACTATGCACACAAGAATATATACTTCCCTTGAGGTGCACAGAGTTATGTACAGTACTCCCATTAATGTTAATAGGCGTTACAAGCCTGCACTGAGCAGAGAAATTCTCCTGAAGTATCTTTGTTTACAGCGTATCTGATCTGTTCACTTATTGTTTATACATAATGAGTAAAAAGCTTTAGTACAGTGGCTGAACCTGCATGCATATATGCACACATATATGTTGTGCGTACGCTTAACACGTTATGTATCTTTTGGCAACACCTTTTGGAGTTCTGAAAGCTCTATATGTGATATGTTTGAGCTGCCATTTTCAGCAATGGCGTTCAATGCATATAGTCAGATTGCTAAGATGGCTACTTAGTTAAATTTCATATTTTTATTTCTGTAGAGTGATTCAGTAGTTCTGTGTTTAAATCTTGGGTAGATTGTCTGTGTGTTTGCATGGAGCAATTGAGACTTTTTTTTACTTCCTACTATATACAATGAGGAAAGGCCAACGACTGTGTAACTCTCTTTCACTGGAATTACATATGCCCAAAAGTTAGGATCATACCTTTTTGTTACTGAAATGTAGGTGTTAGTATGGCCAAATGGAAATGTCTTTGTCTGGTGCTTTGAGTTTCAGGGGACACAAAACCAGCTGCTCTTGCAGATTGTCTTAAAGTTCTAAATGGACAAGATGAAAGAGATTGTTCGAAATTGTTGCTCTATAGATGTAGGGCCCTTGTGCTGTAGAACTATACCATTCAAGGATGTGGACAAATGAAGATGCAATTTTATTTCTCTTCTTTTCTGTTACCTTTTCAGCTGGCCATGCTGTGCAAGAGAAAATGTTGTCCTGATAGGTGCACTGGGTTTGCAGGTGTCCTAGGGAACATCTGCTAATCATACATTATTAGAGCCATGGAAAAGTACTGTTTTGAGCATAGTTTCCAAGGAATTTACTTTTGCTTAAGTGTTGCTAGAAAGTAAGAATGGTCCTTTTGTACCAATTAGATTCTAAGAACATCGTAAAATATGTGGAAGTTTACACAACCTATTATTTCAAACAAATTTACTGTTGACTGCTATAATATCCGGTATGCTTTATTTATATTTTAATAATTTTCAATATAGAATTCGAATAATGAAATCACTAAGCAATTGACCACCATTAAGTCACTGAAAAATGAAGTCCAGGAAAAAGAAGAACGGATTCGGGAACTACAGGCGAAGTACGTTCACTCTTCTATCCGTTGTGTTTGGTGCCACCCAGTGGCAGCTGTGTAATTGTTACATTAACCGTTCTTAAATAGATTTTTAAGAGGATTTTTTTTTTCCTTGTTTTTATTGCAGTCTTGCAGATTATTACAGGCTGTTTTTTAGAAACTGGAGCAGTACATGCTAAAACTGCATTTTTTTTAAACTGATGAGTGATTAGCTAGCTACGGTATCTGTGTTGCAATAAGAATGCCTTAAATCAAAACTCAGACTCTAGAGTAAACTATTTATCCTTGCTGTAACTCTAAATGAATTCCTCAGCACTGTTAAACACAATCTTTCAAATACGGTAATTCTTTGCCTAGGGGCTAAGAGACATGTCAAGGTTCAGATGCTTAAACAAGATTAAATATCCAGTCTTATATTCATAAAAAGTTCAAAGGGACAGGTGTATTTGTTTCTATTTGAATTGATTAAGGTTTACTACTCATTTTGAAATTCACATGTATTGTGGTGAAGTATGCAACTGAGACTTTTATTCTTCCTACTTTAACTGATATAGTACTGTTCTTCAATTATATTACTATATAAGCATAAGCTATTAGTGTATCTGTGAATTTCTTGCCTGTCACAGAGTTTAACTCCTCTAACCATTCTATTTTTTTATTTGTAGAAAAAATGCAGTTTACTTAACTGAGATTAGTTCATTTCAAAAATAAAGAACTCTTAAAATTGTTAAATTGTGTACACTGCATATTTTCTGTTCCAAAGGCAAAGTGAATTTTTCCACCATAAGACTTAAATTTAAAATAGAGTTACTGATTCTCATGCTTCCTTTATAAATTAGATCATGTGTTTTCATAAACTCTAAGATATAATCACCAAAATAACTTTAATAGTATAAATGTGAAATAGATGGAAGAAATTTTAAGATGCACTGTTTCCCTACTTTTCTTAATACGATATTGACATGGTATCAACAGTGTTTTACTCCTGAACATATTACCATCATTCATTTTGCTTTCATTAAAAAAGAAATCCAGAAGTCTGAACATATTGAGGTATTGCTTATATTTATATTTAAAATATTAATTAGTATCATAATAGTGTAGGTATTGTATAAGGCATAATTTTCTCTTTGAACAGAGATTACTTTGTAGTATGTGAAAGTTTCTTCTTTTGAGAGGTGTCTGAAAAATGCTGATGTTATTTCTAGGTTTTGCAGTTTTTAAGAATTATTATCTTATCTAACATACTATAGGGATAGAGATTTTTCAGGTATTTCTGTGTATTACTCAGTTGCATGAAAGGAGACTTCCCTCTTTCACTTTCTTTTAAAAATAATTTTATACAAAATAGTGTTTGAATGATACATGCTTGAAACATCAAAGAAAATTAATTAAATTTTATGAGTTCAACAGATTTTTTGTCTTTTTTTGATAATAGCTTAAGAATTACTATTATGATTTCAGATCAGACAAGTTAGAGCATAAACCACAGCAAAAAGTAAATCACAAATAAATTGCATATTTTGAAATAGATCTGTTTAATAAGAGACTTGAAACTGGTTTTAATGGTTGAGAATAAGGTAAACTGCAAGAATTGCATCAGCTTTTATTTTAAAAAATATTCTAAAGCTACAGGAATGATAGTTTGACTACTGCATTTACACTTTTTAGTTGTTTAAAATAGTTGCATATTAACAGCATTTTCTAACAGTGACATACAAGGTGACTTCTTCCCTTCCAGGATTTCTCAATTGGAGAGGGACCTTAATATGAAAAGACATTTGATAGAAGACTTAAGGTCTCGTCTAAAAGCAAATCAAGAAAATGAGAAGACTTCTAATGAAACGTTAGAAAGTCTTGAGAGAAAGGTACTTCTTTCTTGGTAGTGATAGTTTTAGGAAAAGCAAAAGCTGGTGGATTTACAGAAGTTATTTCAACACGCTGTACATGCTAAATCAATATATTGCTTTAAACAAACAACATACAGTTAATTTAAGGGTATAATTCGCTCACTATAATTTCTATGAAATCAGTATATGGTGATAGCTTGGATGGATTCAGCATAATTTAATGTATGTTCAAAAGAGGTATAATTAAAGTATTCAGAACACTGAGATGCAGGAATATGCTGTAAGTAGTGAGATTTAGTTTTATGCACTGTAAGTTCATAAAATACAGTAGACCTGAAACAAAGGTGCTTTTACACACCATATGCTAATGAAGTCCATGCACCTCTCTTGGCTATAGTAGTTAAATGCTTTAATATGTTAATCTGTTTTCTACTGCAATGTTATGAATGATTCACAGTTCTTAGCTTAATGTAATTCTGTCTGTATAGGTAGAGTTTCATTTCTATAGCACTTTATTTTCTCCTGCAAAATTCTACGATGATTCCACTGAAGCTTAGAGAACTTGTATATGTTTTGGCATCTTTCTATATTATCCAACCAATGTATTGCACTTTGGCCTTTAACACCAAAAAAGATTCTGACATTTGGTGGTCTGTGAGGTTGTGCAGTGTATGACCCCAAAATAGAAATAAACAATTTACAAATTTGCTTTTGTTTTCCTAGAATGCAGGTGCTTGCTGAATATCACAAGCACTATCTCTGCTTGCAGTCATGTAGCACTTTCAGCTCTAGAGCGAGCTACTGTCTTACCCTCCATGCCAAAGATAAAGTGTTATTAAGAAATCTGCAACCAGAGACTGAAAGCATAAGTAAGCAAGGGAGCTAAAGTATGAAATGAGAGAAATACCTGGCTTTGGTTTTAGATGAAAGATTTAGAATGTAACGATGTACTTTAATGCTGTTCTTGGAGTGTTTTAAGCACTGCATTTCTCAACTTCCGGAGAATCAAGTTCCATACATTAATTTGATTATTCCATGTGGAAAATCAACTTGATAAATTTTACATTATCTTCAGCAGAAGATCAAATAAATTCCCTGTTACTGGATATTGTCAGGAAAACTTTGTGATTAATGCTGTCAGGAGAGCTGTATTGATTTTCTAGGAGCATTGGTCTATTTCATTTTGCCCCAAATCAGTGTTTGCATTGTATGGCAAAATGGTAATAATTATCTAAGAGGCTTTACAGACTATTAACTTGTAGACAGTTTTCTCAGCTGAGTTTTAATTAACATTTTTACCTCTGGCAGAATAAATGAGTGGAAGTTGTGGTTTGCTCCTTTTGCATGCAATATTACAGTAAAATATATATAAACAAACAGCTCTGTAAATGAAGAGTTTTTCTTTAAGCTTAATACAAGTCAAAACTTTGTGTAACAAGATTGTGTGCAAACTGATCACTACTGGATCAACAGTAGAGATTTATTAAAGACTAATTTCAGAAAAAGGCACTTTAATAAAATTATTTATATAATACAAGTGTGTTTATGCAATATATGTAAGGTTAGTTTTGATATGATCTTAATTTTTATGGTTTGTATCTTAATAGTCAATTTCTCTTGGCCTTTCATTATTTCAGGTAAAGGCACTGGCTGAAGACTGTTCGAACAAAAAAACTTCCATTGACTCACTGAAACAAAGACTTAATGTAGCTACAAAAGAGAAGTCTCAGTATGAGCAGATGTATCACAAGGCTAAAGATGAGTTGGAGAAAAAGGTATATTAGAGTTGTGATGACTCCACAATGGATGGAACATTTTCATACCTCACTTTCAAATGAAAAGTTACAAGGTCATCAGCTTAGACTTTTTAAATACAGAAAGGGAAAAATCAGCAGAATAATAGTAATATGTTTCTCTGGTTTAGTTCGGTCACATCACTGAAATGTAACATGGACATAATGACTGAAAACAAAATTACTTTTTCCCATGAAATTACATTTTGTGTGTTGCAAGTAGAATGTTCTGTGATCTTAACCATTGTGTGGGAGGTTGGTTTGTTTGTTTGTTTGTTTGTGGTCTACCGTACCTGGCTATCAGCTTTTGTCATATCACTGCTGTTTCTCTGTGGATGTATTTCAGGATCTCAAGCTTACCAATCTAGAGAGCAAAATGATTGAGACTGAATGTGCTATGGCTGAACTTGAGACTACTGCATCTCAACAACTACATGACCTGGCTAAACAGAGTGGACAGGCTTTGGAAACTATACAGAAGAAGCTGCTGCTCACTAATGACAAAGTAGAAGAGTTCATGACATTTGTGAAGGTTTGAGTTTTGATTTTCATTTGAGGGTTCACCTAAATAAAGGTATTCTTGAGTGAAAGCAAAATGTAATAGATTAAATGAGGCTAATCTTCGGTGCATTCCCTGTTCTGGAACAATCTTTGAAGTTCCTGCACAGGCCTGGTGTCAGCTCTGAACTGGTCTAAACGGGGCAAAAGAGTCAATGGCTCTAGGTCTCTCTCCTAGACTTCCAAAGACTTCGATAATTTTTATTGGTCGTCTTTTTGCATAGGGCTGCCAGTGTACTTGTTCCTGAGAAAAGGTGCTTACTTGTATAGAAATTACTCTGCAGAAAAAATTTCCCAACACATTTAAGAAGATAGTTCATATCTGTTGATTAGTGTGAATTACCTCATTTTCCACGTGTGTGCTTTTTATTGCAGAAATATTAAATAAGGAAGCCTGTATATTGCAAAATTGAAAGCAGTTTTTAAAGTAGTATGTAGAATATTATTTTGTTATTTTGGTTAAATACTTAACAAACTGCTACAGTGCATCATGCAATAATGCTATGTCTGTAGTGTTATACAGATCACTTCATCATACGACTTTAGTGTGAAGTTCTACAGAATGGACTAATCTGTGTTTTGTAACATAATGTTTGAAATATTTTTTTTTTTTTTGAAATATCCATTACATACCTAAGAATTATAAGGCCTATACAGCATATATCTATCTTGAATTTAGCATATATCTACTCTATACCTACTTTCAGACAAGGTTATATCTTACTAACCATGAAACAGATCTACTTCTCTACTGTTCTTGGATTTCTGTAGAGGTGAACTGCTTTCGGATATGTTTGAGCAAGTCTGATAGCACCGAAGTAAAAAGCAGTGGTATTTTGATGCACTGTAAAAAGAAGGCATATATAGTTATCTCTTCATGAATAACACTGTGGATTGAAATTTAGTATCTTAAGTACTTGTGCATTTTTCCTTCTTTCTGTCATCATAAGATAGCAAGTCACTCTACATGGCAGTTTTTGGACCTCTTGACATTCATTATAAAAAAAGACTGAACAATGTTGAATGCACTTTAAAATCCTAAATTCAAAGAATTTGTAAGCTAAAATATCTAAGGTGATCCAAGGTGAAAATGATGATTGACTTTCATGAAAAAAAAGTGCCTGCTATTTAAAAAAAGAGTTATTTTATTTTTTAAGTTTGTGATTAAAATAAAGGCAATCTTCTGTTTGCCTCATTTCATAACCCTTGGGAAAGTGGTATAAAACTGATCATTGTGCCCTGTGATTCAGAAGTATCTTGCCTCCTCTTGAACAAACGTATTTTTCATGGGGTAAAATATGCTTTCTTCTAATACAGAATGCTTCCTCTAAGAAGAAGAAATGAATGTTCTTTCCACAGCTACATGCTTATTTTTGGCTAAGTATGGGAAAGTCTGAATTAATCTAATGTATTATCTGGGTTTTTTTAATGGAATACTCCTATGTTATTGATGACAGAGAGACACAATTCCATCTCCGTTCAGGCTGCTATGAATTTTTGAATTAGTTAATTGAATAAACTGCAGTTGCAATTACAGACAAAGGAGATAAACAAGTGTTCATACTATCAATACTTTACATACTTCCATAATGAAAAGTTTGTCAAAAATTAGAAAATGAGAAAGTAAAAGATCTGCTGTTCTCAAAAGTAGCTATAATGAGCAAAATCACCTATTAGCAACTATTATGATACTTCATTCATTGTTGAATAAGATGACTGCTTCTCTGTTAGTTACCATGAATATTCATTAGCATTTACATGGTCGTAATGTGTGTGAAAATAATGTTAATATGTAATTTCTCTATAAATAATAATTATATTTAACTAATAAAGCTAAATATGTAGTGTCTCCCCTGGATAAAAGAATATGCATGCATATTTCAAGTAACATTTTTGCTGACTACTGTTCCTCTGTAGAAAGATTTTTTGAAAATAAAGATGCTGTCTGTAAGTCAAATATTGATGAACAGGGAGTTCCTCAGCAGACTTCTTTGTTTAGTTAGGTACTAAATATTTATGGAAAAAAAAAATTCTGAAATCAGTATACCACTGTAAAAATATAGTTGAAAATCCTTGGCATTTCAGTGGAATTCTGTAGTACATCAGGTAAATCCTGTTAAAATACTTATCTGATGCTATAACCTGCACAGGAAGATCGAGGTGGCACAATAAGTAGCAGTATTCCTTCCTGGCACCAGCTCTTCCTCTGAAGTCTGGTCTGTCTCATTTCTACTCCCTCCTTCCAGATAGCTGGCGGTGTTCCCCTGACCTTGGTTCTCGCTCGGGTTTCAGTAACTCAAATAAGTTTTTCTGTATAGAGATCAAGTTTAATCAAGTTTAAACTGTCTCTTGCTTAACCTGTTTTTGATATATTTGTGTGACCCTCTTATCTTAGTTTGCTATTCTGATCACTTCACAAGCCTTGTTTTTCTGAGTGCAAGTGTAATTTTCTCCTCATTAATCAATTGAATGTCGTTACTTTTTCAGGCTGTTCCATGTCTCTCATGACATTATATAGTTCTTTTTTTAACATACAACCATTAAATCATTTCAACATTGCTAATTAATAGCTACAGCTAATAATAGGACAACAGAGGAACTTTAGTGAAGAGAGTGTGGCTCTTCCTGTTTATAGCAGACACTGTTACTTGCCTCTAGAGTTATTAATAACTCAGAGCCACAGGATCTTGAATCCATTTGGATCAATATACTAAGATATAAAACCTGGGGAAGAGGTTTCTGGTAGAAGTCTGATATAGACCATTGGATCAAATTAGAGGATATGATGAGTTACTGGTTAAGCACATATTTGTGATGTACAATAAAGCATTGCATTGCTATGGGGAGCCCAGTTGGGGGGGACACTTAGACAAATAACTAAAATTGCTGGATTGTAAAATCTAGTAATAGTTTCTAAAAATGGTGGAAGATATAACTACAAACAAAAGTTGCTATATCCAATACGTTGTAAGTCATTATTGGACTTATTATTGTTGGAGTGTGGTACAGGGATCAGGTGTTACATGCTAAATTACATTCAGTGGGAACCAACAGGGCACCTAAAATAGGTTGATTCAGAGCAGCTCATTTTTCCAAAGCTGTTATGAGGAAGATATAAGCTAATAGAAAATATGAATAGAATTTATGCACTGTAACAGTTTATTAAGTAACCAAAAGAACCACAGTTCCATAATTAGAGGATAGCTCCTTATAAATATCTATTTCAGTTTGATAGGAAAGAGAACACAATATTTAGAAATAAAAAGGTAATATAAAGGAAGTGGAAAATGGATTATAGATAATAACCTGAAAATATGAGCAGCAATAGAGTATAGAGGATGGAGAAGAGGCTAAAGAAATCAAGAGGAAATCTGTGCATGGCAAGGCCAAGAGCAATAGTAAAGAGGCAAGATTTAAAAATGTACTAGTAATAAGATAACTTAATAGCTATGGATATGACCCATTATTAGATAAAACAACTCTGTAACTGTGTAAAGATAGAAGTCTTGCATTAATATTTCTGGTTTGTATCTGGAAGGAAGTAGGCTGATGTTATATGAAGATGATGAAACATCCCCAGTCTGTTAGTAGCCAATGGAGGAATTTAAACAATTTCTGGAAAGAAGTAGTATTTTAAAATTGAGAACTTTTATAGCTTACAACTTTATAGGGCTAGTTAGGGAATTTTTCTCTCGCTGCTCCTTATTTGGAGTAAGTGTTCAAAGTAAGTGTATATATAGTATAACACCGCCATGAGTCTAAAAGAGTAGTAATATGGAGTCAATACTCAGAAAAGGCAACAGGACAGATATTTTTAGGTCAGTTAGTCTCACCTCATTTCTGGCTAAAATAATGAAAATCTGATATAAAATCCAATTATTAAAGTATTAGAGCATAGGAATATTGTTAACTTCTTAGAATGGCTTTATGGAAAATAAGTTCCATTGAATAAATCTCCTTTCTTTTCTGGAAGGCAGTACAAGTCTGTTGATAAAGGTTACTATTCATGTTAATATACTATTTTTTAAAATGTCTGACCTATCACTGATGTTCAGATAAGAAATGTAGGCTATGCAATATCAGTAATGTGTTAAATGGATTAAAAATGGCCTGTGTGGTTGATCTGAAAAGTAAATCATGAAATTTCAGGTGTTTTTAGAGTTCTCTAAAGATCAGAGCTAAACTTCATTATTAAACATTTTAACAGAATTAGATATAAAATCTTGATAAAATTTGTCAATGGCATTTATGAAGACTGATAAATAATAATGGAAGTAAGGCTGTAAGTATAATACAAGCTAGGCCAAATAAAATATTTTTATTACAGAAGAACACAAACTACCTGTAAGAGGGACCAGGTGGCTCTGAGAGTATTTTAGATGCCTTTTATAAAGCTACATGTTTTTAGCCTATCCAGCTTCCATCAGCACCATAAATTCTCTTTGAACAATGCATCCAGTTTCTACAGTGTACCATTGTTCAGCATTTTCTATAACATGTATTGCACTATCGGATCCTCAAGTGGATCTTGCCAGTTATGTGCAGCACAGCAACCAGAATAAAATGTTTGTTGTGTTTCTTGTACCTGTGACAACACATGCACAAAATAGCCACTGGATAAAGTTAAAAAACTGCTATTAGACTACTTGGCTGGAGACTATTGAAATTATGGTACAGCATACTAGTTTGCTATGAAACTGTCCAAAATCCTGCCTAATTCTGCAGGAATTCTGTTCTGCTGCATTACTGTACTGGTTTGGTTTTTTTTTTTTTAGCTCACCCAGACTTTGACTGTATATTGCTTTTATGGACCCTTTTAAGCTCAAGACTCAGTAGTGTTGCCTGTCCCATTCAACTTGTACATCAGCAAAACTCATTTTTATAAGTCAATCAGCAGTGATGACATCTGACTTAGCATGAAAATATCAGAACTTTTCTGACCTTGAGGAAGATGTTTTGAAATTTTGGTAAGGC